GAACAACACATATTCTATCACTTGCGTGCAGAACGAGAAAAAAAAGATATTATGTGTATTGCATAAACAACCAAGGAACACATAGAAAAAGGCGATGCACTAGTTGTGTGCTTTTAGAAAAAAAATGTAGACAGTAACAACATTGCCTGATGAAATATCTTGTTATTTTGTATTAATGGCCAGTAACATAAAATAATGTCAACACGTATTGATTCACCGTTGACTACAAAAATTGACTCAATAGACTATTGAAAAGAAGAAAAAGATCACCTTATTCAGTCCACCAGAGATTGCTACTGAATACTTATCATCTGAAAAAAAAAACTGAAAACCTCCCAATAATGAACACCTCTGTAAACTGAGCACTTTTTTCCAGTGCCAATGATGCTCACATTAGAGAAGTTTTACTGTATACTAATATGACATTTCGATAAAAATCCTTTCAATGTAGAGAGATTTTATTTTCGATACTAATCAACTTGACTTCGACTTAATACTATCAAAATTTTGGAACAAGCACAAGTCGCTACAGCATTCAGTAATGAAATAAGTTTACTGCTTATCACAGAGTCGAAATATAAGACGGAAGAACATGAATGCGTATACGTGTACGAGAGGTGTTTTGATCTGTATCGACTTGATCCACGCGAAAACGGATTCCCGGTCGTAATAATATTTCCTTTTCGTTGGAAAAATCTGATGTACTCGTTATATCGACAAATTGATCGTTCCATTCGTACCGACCGAGATCGATTTCGTAAAAAACATTCGTGTCAAATCTTTCAGTCACATTTTTGTCCGTTGACATCGACACGAAACATAACCATTTGAAACATCGATTTATATTTCCGGCTGCTTGACGGTACTCGTCAAGCTTTTTTCTTGTTATTGTATCTCCACGGTAAACTATCGTAGAATTCTTCTTTTTTTCGATGAACCGTTTGAAAAAGACGACGCATCATTGACTGCTTACGGGCTGCTTTTCTGCCTATATAGTCATATACAAGAAAGCAGAAAGGCCCAAGTGTCTCTATTCTACTAAAGTCATGATCACGGAGAGCCTGATTAGTGATCCAATAAAGGAAGCTGTCTTTGGTATATAATTTCACATATGTTTCTCTCAAAATTTTCATACGTTCACTATTTGTACGAATCATGGTGTCATTGCCAATTTGCTGAAGACTACCGATCAGTACTCCTATATTTTCTTCTGGATGTTGTTGACCTTCTTGTTGAATGTCTTGAATTAACCGATCGATAATTTGATTGAATGCTACACCTGATGCACTTCCGGCCACTTTCATTAGCCAAGTCATGATGAAAGGAGAACCTTGATAATATGTATCTACAGCTGTTGTTTCTGAATCCAAAGGAAAGGCATATCTTTATTCAAGTCTTCGTTTTTCAGCGTCGGATTCGACTCTGTAAGTTCTATTATCATCCACTCGATAGTGACGCTGAGTCGGATGTTGCCTCGATAAGTCCATACGGTGTATTTGCATTCTATGAAGCGAATCGATTCGATAGTCGACTCTGATTGGAATTTCAGAAATACCACTGTGGGAAGCCATATCAGTCATATTGGATACATCAGGTGGATTTGAATCAAATGATTCTGAGTTTGTTTGGTATGGCTGCTTCAAAAAAAAAATGTTTGATGGTGATGACTCTGTCGTCATTTATTCGTGTATATACTACGGAAAACAATTTTTATGTATGTTTGCTTACAAGATCAATCGAATTCATCTGAAAAGATCAAAGGATACATTTTTCAATCATATATTGTTGAGAATTGGTGCAATTGTGAATGAAAAATAATGTTGTCATAATCAACAGAGTTCGATCATAACTGTCGTAAAACGATCAAGTCTCTCAAGTGCAAACGTTAGATAATTTTCGTATCATCGAAATTTTTTTTCTGAATGTCTTGGCTTGTTGAATAGAATGAGTTCCAATTTCTTCTTTTGTCCTTCTTTTATCTTTTGTTTGATTATCATCATCCATTGCATGCATGCATCACTCTCTACAGATCGGTGAATGTGGGTTTAGGTAGCTGGATGTATGTGTTGACATGATCCAAGCATCTGAACAGTTTTCTTCTCTGTAAGACCATTTATATGTCAACATATAGATTTTTGTAAATAGTTTTGAGTAGAGACATGTCTGCTAAATCGAATAATGAAAAAAAATCATTGAATTATCTCGAAAAATAACCGAGTCATTAGCGTTAGTTTGTGAATGATTGAATTTGTCTTTATTAGGCCCACTGTTCTTAACAAGAACAGTAAGCCATAAAATGTTCCTAATAGGGACAGACTATGTAAAACGCATAGAAAATTAAATTTTCGTAGTAAATGAATGTTTTTACTAGCTAAACTTGGAAATTGTTTTGTGCTCCCTCCACAAAAAATGTTTCTCGATGGATTTGTCCATGAACTTCCAGCGGTTGAAGGTAAACAAACTTTTTGTTTTGTATCCGTGGCATCAATTAAAAATAATGAAATTATTGTTAAATTATACCTATCAAAACTCAATCATAATTTCAAATCAATCAAAAAATATAAGATCTTCTATTTAACCTGCATCCATTTTTTAAGAATTTTATTTCTATTTATCATGAAAATAGTTCTCCAAAAATTTCATAATCAAGTATCGCAAACAATCGTATGTTTTACATACTAGTGACAATAGATATTAATTACGAGTAACAATAAAAAAAATGCGATTCAAATAAATAAATCAAACAAAACTGAAGAAACTGCTTCGGATGTTCGATTGATCTTAATTTTTTTATTTAAATATATATATAAACGTGACAAGAGCTATCAAATTTTAGGTAAAAATAAATCTAAGTAGATCTCGTTTTAAATGAGGAGCAAAGCAGTGAAACTATTTTTTATTAAAAAAAATTTCTAATCTCCATTTTTATTAATGAAAAGCATGGTTTACATATTTGTTACGTTTGAGTAGAGTGCATTCATTTTAATGAATTCATAATCTATTTTGTGCACAATAAAATTTACCACATCGACATCGAAAATTGATCTTCGAAAGTATCGTAAACAAACGAAACAGTCTATCATTTTTCTTGATGAATATATAATATTCGTTTTTCATTCTTATCTTTTACGACAGTTTTTGTTTTCAAATCTTTTAGCAACTATAATTTTGGTGAAGTCTTAACTTTACTCGAAACATGTGCTCTTTTGGTTACCGAGAATAGCTTGTTGATTCAAAGCCTCATCAACGTTTATATTTATGCCGAAGATAAATAGTTATTGGAAACAAGAAAGCAAAAAAGTTACGATCGAAAAGAGATACTTTTTCAATTATCCCGCCATGTAATGTTAACTGAACAGTTGCATTCAAATTATTTCGGAAAAAGAGGGAATGATATAATGAAAATTGGTATTCCTACATATCGACGAACAAAAACTTAAGGAAATGATTAATGAATGGTTTTCTACAGATTATGAAAATGAAGAGTTTTATGATATTCATTAAAAGACACTGTGAATACAAGTTCATAAAAAGATACCATCGCATATGAATAACTATATAAAAAGATATTACATTCTTAATTGAATCGAATTTTTTTTATTGCTGCTCGTAGTTAGTGTCTAGTGTCACTGTTATGTAAAACATACGATTGTTTTCGATACTTGATTTTGAAATTGTCGGGGAACTATTTTCATTATAAGTAGAAATAAGGGTGTGGGTGTGGGTGTGAGCGAAAATAATTGTAAGACACACATCCACACCCACACATATGTGTGGTTGTTTGATAGTAACTTATTTTTGTTATAAAGTATACAACACAAAATGATCTACTAATTAAAACTAGTTCGTATTCAGGCTTCACTCGAATACAAAATGCAGTACGAAGCGAGAAATATGAATTCTCGAAAAATTGCATATTTCACAGAAAAATCCAATTGTAATTTTATGATTTATCAATGAAACACTTTTTCCTAAAAATCATGTCCGTTTTATTCAAGTCAGAGTTTCTTCTGTTTCTGTTAATCGTAAAACTCATGTTTGGAGCAATCATCTGATCGAAGTAGAAAAGGACTTCAATAATAGAAATGGTGAAATTCATCACCACTAAAACTAGATATATCAACCCGCATCAACATCTTTTTAGCTGCCGATGACAATCGATCAATTAATTATCTATATGATACATGATCTAAAATCAGTTGTACCCCCAACTATCTTATACATAAGCAAAGAGAATGATGGTTTAATTTTTTTCCTATCTTCGTTTTAATTATCTTGAAGCTTCAAAACAAAAAAAGTCCTAAAAAAAATTGTCATTTTTGGACGCTATTTGTAATCGAAGAGAACGTCTCGGAAAAGATTGGGTAAACTTGTAGCAAGTTTGATCTCGATATATTCAGATCGTTTTTGAACGAGCATTTTCTTAGTTTCCGTTCTTAAGATCATCGCGAAACAAAACGACAGCTTTTGATGCGTACGTCGAGAAAGTAAAGGAAAAAGAAAGAAAAAGCAAAACCTTACGAAACATTGCAAAAATGCGATGCTTCGCATCGATTAAATATATATTCAGTAAACTGTTGGCGCAATGCTATATATAGGCGCTTCGCACCTTAATAGAAGAAAAGAAAACTTGTAAAAGACTACATAAATGCAAGGCTTCGCACTGCAATTATTAGATATGAATATAAATCTAGATGATGTTTCCATCTTGGTATAATCACTGATTATTCGACGTTATATATGGGAGCATGTCTCAATAGTGCCAAGTGTTATATTTAATCATCAAGATTTTTCTTCAAACGGCAATTCCTGCTCGAAAACGATCAGCAACACTAAATATATTCACGATACTAATTTATATAAGTAAATTACAAAGATGTTTAAATAGCTAGGAGCACGTTCATATTGGACTGCTTTTATTAAAAGGCATCTTTTTTTAGAGTTATCCGTTTTCATAACTCTACTCAACCTATCGTCATTTACTTTTTCATATTTTAAAGATGAGTATGACAACAACAATAACAACAACAGTAACGTCTAATACAAGCACACATGTAATACATTCTCCAGAACAATTAGCTGCAATTTTTAAGGATCCAATTGTAGTCATTCGATTCTATCAGTTTGGTTATTTGTTTACATTTTTACTTGGTTTTCCTGGTAATATAGCTAGTTTATTTACATTTTCACAACCAACCTTACGAAAAATATCAACTGGATGTCTATTTCTTCTCTTGGCTATTTCGGATACAGTATACTTACTTATGTATGTCCTTGATTGTTTGGAATTCGGTGTGCAGGTAATAAAAATTTATTTCTAGAAAAAAAAAATTTTCTTTTTCTTTCTATAGATTCATTTCTATGGCCACGGTACATACGATCAGCTTTGTCAATTTCGTACATTCGTAAAGTATATATCTCAAGTTACTTCAGCATGGATATTAGCGATAGTTTCTGTTGATCGATGGATTCGAACTCGATTTCCATTCAAAGCTGGTTCAATGTGTACACCAAAGAAAGCTCTGATCGCTGTTGCTGTAGTACTTGTGGTAAATATGGCTCTTTATTCGCATATATTATTTCCTATGTTTGGAACGCTAATACCTGGTTTTTCACGTGCAGCATGTGGACCTAAACTAATTTATACTTCGTACTCAGAATTTTACTTATTGCAATGGGGTATTATTCAGGTAAGTAGAAACCTAAATAATCAATGAACATTCTTTTGTGCTTGTAATATATTAAAATCTGAAGTCACTTTATCTTATACAGTCAAAATATGTTAAGCATTTGCCTGCTTTTTCCATCTCCTGTCGGAAATCTAATTTTGTCCTAGAACAACCGATCTATATTAAATTTTTGGTAGAGGTACGTGAAGATCAAGAAGATGTATAGAAAAAAATTAAGCTCCAAATTCAAATTTATTCTAACATTTATGAGCAAAAACTAGGGCGCTACGTGTCCCTCATTCTTCCTTAAATCTAATGATAGCGGTATCTGGTTAAAATCAAAATGTATTTAACATTCGTAGCTACAACTGAATGGACCTCGATTTTGAAAAAATTCCTTTCTGTACACTTAACGCTTGTTTTTCTGGCAAATCATAGAAAATAATAGGTGCTTCTATGGAAAAATATTCATTTTTCTCAAAAAGTAAATCGAAAATGAAAAATTAGACTCTATTAAGGCATAATGTGCAGATTTTTAGTCAGTTTAAAACCTTTCAGAGTTTTATATCATATAAACTGGCTGAGAAATTTGAAATGTGCTAACAAAGAATAATTTGAAAGTTCATTTCGACAAAAACTAGGAAATAACTTTTTGACGTTGAAAGTCAGATTTTGTTCCTCACAAGGTTATACAAGAAAATTCATTCGCAGAATATGAAGAAATGTTTACGTCACATTGACTAGCACTTAAAAGTGATATTCTTAATGTTACAGACGTAAAGAAAAGTTCAAAAGACTCTAATGACTGAGACTCGGAGACTATTTTTCATATTAAGATTTTTACAGAAAAAACATTCTAAAATCAGTCAATGAAAGTGCACTCGAAAGTAGAAAACTTGGACAATCTAATCATGTATGAATATTAAAAATTACTAGTGTGCAAAAAAAACTAGAATTTCTACCAGGAAATCCTTAATTTCTTTTTCTTAAAAAATTAAAATACTCTTCGCGAGCATTAACAGTCCATTAATTTTCTAGTATAGAATGTTTCTTCTGCTATAATACCGAAACATTTCTTGATAGGATATTACATTCGACAATTTATATCATGTTTTTAATTAATTTTCTTTGTAGTTACTAAATAAAATATCATAGACTTATAATTTAGATTTTTACAGGTTGCTTAGTGCCAGCTATTACAATGTTTACAATTCTCATTGATATATCTATCAGTATTCGTGTTCGTAAAAGAATGATAATTCAACCAATACACATTTCTCGTGAAGATAACAACATGAAACGACAACAAGATCTTCAAAAACAAATGTTCATTCTTATGTTTGCAAGTATTTGTATTTTTCTGATTACTTCTCTTCCGTTGGCTATTTATAAAATAATATCAGTACGACAAGAAAATCTATCATTGGCTGTTTTTCATATGGTTATTATTTTGACAGCTTTAACATGGTTTCAAAGTCTTTTTTATGCAGTAAATATTAGCCTTACTTCTATAAATAAATAATATCTCTACATTTGATTTTAAGGTCAATTTTTATTTTCATTGTCTTGGTTCAACATTATTCCGTAATGAATTCAAAAAACAATGCCAACGTATATGGAACACACGTCAATCTCAAGATAGAGTTATGGAAAATACAACTGCAAATCAACGCATTCAAACCCATATAGTGCCGACGAAATATTAATCATGTATTAAAAAGAAGTTATACGAAAGCATTCAAGCCTATGACGCACTTTGTAGTTTTCGTTGTCAAATAATCGATGTTGTATGTCAATATATACGTATGTATATATATATTGTGCTGACCAAAAGTTCCACACCCACCTGAAGTTTATCGATATTTCAAGCTTTTGACTTGATATTTCGACTACATGTGTGTAGTGAGAAACTCTGATCGTAGAGATCAATCCGACCTGAATTGAATGTAGTAAGACAAAGTTTTGCCCCAAACATTGTTTTTATCTTGCATTGCTCATATTTCAGCCAAATACACACTTTGAATTTTTCGGAAACCATCATTTGAAAACCAGATTGCTCAGCAGTCTCCAACCAAATATTCATCAGAAAAGTCTATCAAGTTGCTGATATATTACTTTGCATGGTGTGGGTGTGTCTCACAAGTATTTTCTCTCCCATCCACACCCCACCTTGATATTTATGACCATTTTAATGAAATATGTGGATTAGAAAAAGATTCTAAACCTAAAGGCGAACTATCAACACTAACTACAAATGGCTGTAACCGAAACGCTACATCACTTAAAACAGAGTCCTGAACGGGTGGAGTGTGGATTTGACTATCATCTGTTCATACAGAACAACCAAAATGCATCCACTCAGACCCATACCCACACCCTCGATTGTATTCGACCTTGAAATTGACATATTATACAAGTAACTGCTATATGTTACTAGTTTATTTGTGATTAGCTTCTCTAGATGAATGGAGCAGATAATGTGTTTAACATTTTTGGTTCTTTAAGAATCATTGTTCTGTTAATCTGAAAATAGTTTACAAATCTATACACGTTTCCATACTCAAATTGCCATATTTCTTGGTCGCAATTCTCCTGGTCGTACGTGAAATTTTACGCAGCTGCGCCAATCATCATTTCCACCTGTTGTCAATGGGGCACTCCACCCCTGTACATTTTCAAAATGTATGTCGCGTGTTGTCCCCCGAATGCCAGAACATTTGTTAATATGTGTAATTCTGGGATTGTTCTGGCTCTGCACCGTTCCAAACGCTGCTGCACCTGAACCTTCGACTCTGAAGAAGACTTCAGCACACAGAGAAGTGACGTCCTCCCAATTGAATGTTGGCTATATTTCTTTTGGGACTGGCTGTTGCGGATATTTAACATAAATAAAATTGCTGGGAATTAGCTGTTCCTGTTTTTTCTCCAATTCCAAAACTTGAGCTCGAATGAGCAACGTGTCGTTTCGTACGGTATCTCTATGTTTCTTGCATTCTCTGTTCATGAATGTCTCAATTTTGGTTACCTTACGTAGATTCTCTAAAATTCGAGTATCATTTATAATGTTGATTCTGGTGCTTAATTCGGACGAAGTTTTTGTCACGCGAACCTGTGTGGTAGTAATTTGCGAACTGGTGCGCAGTGCAGCCATATTTATTCGGCTAAGCAAAAGTGATTTCGGAGTAAACTTTTCACCATTCCATTCACTTATTCTTCTTAGCTCGTTCATTGCATCCAAAACGTTTTCCCTTTCCTCTTTACTCAACGTTTCCAAAATAAAGCTTCCTTCTGCGTTGGCGCCTACCAAACCTTGAAGTAATGGAATTGTCCCACCGATATGGCCACTACCGGACTGTTCTTTTGCATTTCAGTTTTAATAAAGTCTTTAAGTTTATTGTCACTCTTATTGTGGAAATCATTCAATATTTTGGTCGCCTTGTCTAGTCGCGCATTCTCTTGTTGCCAGAACACTGAATCCCACATCTGAGTCTCAAACATACTCGTGGAAACTGTTTTCAATTTAAGAATGTTATCCAGAAGATTTGCAATTGTCACTTGCTGATCCTGACTTACAAACTCGTCATCAACCACTTCCGTTGCCACTACATTCGAAGCAATCTCTAAAGACAACCTTTTCGCATCGTCCGCCTGCAAGTAGACCACATTCTGATCGGCAAACATTTGGTTCAACACACTGAATAGTGTTGAGGATTGAACGTGTTCCGCTTTTATTGATAACAATCTTCTTGCACTCTTCTGACTCTGGAGACTGTAGTATACGACCACATCGGAGAGTATATGTTTTGGACTGGTTTTCATCGTTTCGGTGACTTCTGTGCAAGTCTCTACAGTTTTGCATATCATGCGAAAATCAAAGCTAGATGGTTGATTAGCATAAGAAGTCCACTTATTGACCATTTCATATTCTTCCGAGTGTCCACTAGCATCCATACGAATCTCTTCAATCGGCAATGTTAGAATGTTGTCTCGAGCAACTGCATATTCCAGTTTTCTTGATATTGCTTCGGTAATGAAATCCTCGTAAGAATCGTCCCACATCATGACCGTAAAAATTATTTCGTGTTTCTTGGTAAATGCGTTATAAACATAAACTGGAGATTCAGGATCGAAAATAAGCGCTGGAGAATAATAATACTGTCCTACATTTGATTCATTGCTGTCTCGCTTGTAAACAGAAACCTTGAAGTTTTGATAAATGATGAACATAAAAGCGTTAGGATTAATTTTCAGCATTCCCCATCCTGACAGCTTACCGAGTTCTTTGCCTAGCAATAATAATGCACTTAATTATAACTGATGCAAAGCTCATTACTGACAGTAAACATTGCTCGAAATCTTATTCCTTTACTTCATATTTTTTGAAATTTGTATGCCAGATGTTTTAAATAGCTTTGAGTATCTCGCTTGAAAATAACTTAACAATCATTCCATATAAACCTCAATCTATTTGAACGTAGATAGGTGAGTGAAAGTGACTGAGAGTGTGTCTTCTTTTCAATGTCCCTCTGAGCCCCTAGTGACGGGAGTGCATATTTAAAAAAATGGCATTGATTCATAGAATTATGAAAAACGTTAGAAATGTGGCACAGATGCTCTTGGCTTTAATACCAATAGAAAAGGCTTTAGTTCGCATAGAAGGACTGAATAGGCTGAACATGCCATATTTTAGTGTTCTACGTGCTTGATTCTCCAGCTTTCTAGCAGGCAACGTATGAGTCACACCTAGACATGTACGGGACCAAATGCTTTTGGTCTCTGTCCCAGTCCCGCACATATCTAGTCACAACTCATTTATAAATATGTTTTGAATAAAAATTATCAAAGTATGTACGTAACGTTTTTCGGTCAATATAAGAAACCGCTAGTAGGAATTAGGAGCACAAATATAGCAAAAGAATAAGAAATGGAACGTCAATATATGCCTGTATCGGTGATATCGTCGCAGGTATGTTTCTTTTATTTCAAATAATAAAAAATAAGCATTTGAAGCGAATTCGATGTTTCGTTTCGTAAGAGTCCATTTTATGACTTTCTTATTTCTTGAGTGGTTTAGATCAAGTAATGTAAACGAAATCATTCAAGAATATCTGATACTGGGAAAGATCCTGTTACTATTTTCGAAGAGACACTTAAAACTGACGGTATATTCGTCAGCATGTATGGCATTTGTAGACGACTACTATTGAATTGAATGCCCTACTTAGTTTTTCCATGCCAACTGCTTGCTGCGATTGTGTTGCATGATGAACACCGTAGGTAGTTGTGATGCCGCTGACGAAGAGAATCGACAGAACAAAAGCCCATACGTATCTAGTTTGTGCTACTTGGATAGCATATTGCCAGCATGACCAGTAAAAGCAATTGATAAAATAAATTATCTATGATTGATCGCAGTATGAAATACTCACGGTGGTGACAACTGATGTTGCTCTCCATTCATTTCGATAAGTGTTGGATGGTGTTCATCGTCAACCGTCATGTCTTGCAGTTCCACACTGTCATCTTTGTCTTGGTCATTGGTAGGCATGTAACTAGATTTCATTGCACAAAACGATCTATGTGTACGATACTAATTAATTAAATAGATCATGAACAGGCTTGAGATCAATCTATTATTTTAATTATGCACTCAATCGAACTTCGCAAGAGAACATGAAACAGGATCATGTACTTTGTATACTCTGATAACTTCAAGCATAATTTAGAAGATTTAATAGAGGGTGTTACGAAAGTCATTATACAATAAAATATTTTAATTTCTTCTATTCATGAAGACACAGTTCAGAAATACTGCTAAAAGCTATGATCGTTGACTGAAATGCAAAATGTTGTCTCCTTTACGGGTTCAAAACTTNCCCCTACTCAAACAAAAGAATTTACTAGTGTTATCGAACCAAGTCATTTCAACTTTGGTTCTAATAGCAATATTTCATGAAATCTCATATGCCCTCTTAGATTGGAACGGATATAGGCCATGGAAAAAATGAATTTGTGATTGAGTTTCACTCCAAAGTAGTGAAAACTCAGGGAATGCCTAATATCTTGAGGTTTTGAAGTAAAATAACTCCAATCAAATCTCAAATAGAGTGGTAAAGTTAAAAAGAAGTTAGCATTACAATAAAATGCTCAAAGTGAAGGTTCATCAGACTGTAAAAGTAGATAAAACCTCTTTTGCGCAAGGGGGTCTATAATTATGGTACAGTCATTTTTCAGTTTTCTCAAGCTTTTTCTTCCAATAACAAGAGACGAAAGGAAGAGATGATGGAGCCAGGTAGTGCGTGGGTGCTCCCATATACACATATCATTAGTAGATCAATATCGTTTATCATGGAAATAAAATAAACATTTTTGTCTGTCTATACAAGGGGGGCCTATAATTTTGGCAACCCCTGTATATATTTAATTTTTTTTGATTGACTGAGCATGTCAGGATGCAGGGCACCAAAGACTCATTTTTTTTTGAATTTTTATCTCTTGAAAGGAGAGAAGAAATTACAAGTTTGATGAGTCAAAACACTCTCTAAAACTGGAGCTCAATTTATAAAAGCGATTGTACATATAACAGAAAAAAAGCTTAACTAAAAAGAAGGACTCTTTGGTGGCGCATGTTTTAGCATGCTGTTTCAAACAAAAAGAATTAAATACATACAGGGTGGTTAGAAAGTAACCGAGCAGTCTTTGATTGCGAATAATTTTTGAAAGGAACAATATAGAGAGCTGCAGTTTTTATCGTTTAAAAGAGAGCGAAAACTGCATCGAATCTTGAATACCGGATTTTTATAATAAAATTTCTCATGGTTTTCAAACAAGTTTCTTTAAAAAACTTAGGCTTTTTAAATAGGTCTAAAAGGTGGATTTTTCGTCAAAAAATCAGAGAAAACGTTGGCTTTTCACCAAGAATCTACTGAGAATGTGTAGTAAAATGTTAAGAACTAATGATTTACTAAATCTTTTTGACTTTGACCCTACACAGATTATTGAACTTTAGTTAACGATGCTGATGCACTACTGAAAATTAAAATTCTAAAACTTTCACATTACACAATAATTTCTATTACAAAAAATTTCTGGAGACTCCGAGTGAATATTGTCATAAAAATCTGGTGTTCAAGATTCGATGCAGTTTTTTTCTCTTTTAAATGATGGAAACTGCAACTCTCTATCTTATTTCTATCAAAAGTGATTCGCAATCAAAGACTGCCCGATTACTTTTGAACCATCCTATATAATTAGTCTGGGTGGAAAAGTTTGGTTTGAGCGTTCGACAAATCATGAACTGAGAAAAAACGAAAAAGATTTTTCGATTTCACCCAAAACCAGCTTATTTTTCAAGTAGGTACTGAGGAAGACATCAAAAATTATTGGTAAAACGATATACGAAGTAAAAGGCTATATCTCTTTTGAAATGGCAGACTTCGGACTATCTTCTCATGCACTTATCTCAATTTTCATGTTTTTGACGAAAACTGACTTTTTTCGCGGAGGGGGGGGAGGCTTAAGATCTGACTTTTATGGAAATTTCATTACAAGAATCTCGTATCATTTTTTTGTGTTTTTTACGTCATCAGTACTTGGTTAGGTCAAAAAACTTTTAGCCCATCAATGAAAACCTTGCCCATTTCGCCCATCATGTTTTTCTAGCTCAAGAGAGATTTGCCCATTGGCCTAAAAATCCTGGCTACGCCACTGTATTCCGATAATCTTTTATCCTACCTATGGCGTGATTCGATCAAGACAAATAAATACACGAATGATTTTTAAAAAATAAACTATATAATCAGTGCTAAAAGTGAAGTAAACGAATGACATGTTTATTTGGCTGTGGGTGTGAAACCAATACTGGCACACACACACTATTGAACAACATTAATTGTATATTGAATATGAGTATTAATCATCGTCTAAGTGGAATCAAATTTGGACAAGCTGAATTTTCAATTTAACTTCTTGATTGACATTAAACTTTGTTCGAGTACCAATCTTCTTGTATTTGTGAATTCTCTTGAAACAGATTTTCTTTAATCAAATTCTATCATGAAGAATACTGTTTTACTTTGTATTTTTCAGATGAATCAATGATTTACTTGCTATAAAAGCGAACAATCTTACATAATATTCTACGAAATCAATTAAATTAGCAAAATTAAATAAATGCTCTTTCAATTCAAACGTAACTTCGTGGATTTTTATTTTGAAACATTCGAAAGGTGAGTCAGAAAATTAGTGCTACATTTATTTCTCAATATTTCAATGAATAAATACGCGAGCATGTACTTTTTTTTCCATTCTATAAAGTCGTGTATGACACATCGTTAAGTATTTCCACTGGACATGAATTCGCAATTGTGACGCATTGTTGATAAAAAACACATTTTATTCTTATACATGCTGTGTATTACGACTTATGTCTACTAAAAAGAAATTTGATCTTCAAACATTACCTGTCGAGCTTCTTCATCGAATTTTCGATGATCTCAATACAGAAACAATTGTCTTTTCGATTCGCTGCGTGTGCAAACGGCTCTATTCGATTACTAATACCTACAATCGCTATGAGTTGGACTTCCCCTACATGTCAAAATCTGACTTACGCCTCATGGCACGTATTATTGATCCTAAAAATGTTATTTCACTTATGCTTTCAGATGAAATGGATACCCCCAGTCAAATTCGATCATTTCTTTTTCACTTTCGTATTGATCAATTCATTCGACTACGTTCATTGACGCTTATGAATGTAGAAGATGATGATTTGAATGAATTTCAAAAACATATCATAAAATATTCCCTTACAACATTTTCAATGTCGCCTCGTTACTATGGTATCGACAATATAAGATCTTCGTTATCATCTATTATATCACACAATGATCTTCGTAAATTTCAACTCCAAGGAAACAATGACATTCTCAGTGAAATACAATGGCCCATTTCATGTAGATTGGAACACGTGATAATTTGTTATGAGTGCAATTGGAATAAAGTTTACTCTATTCTTAGTCATTTATCTCATCTGCAAAAATTGGTTCTCAAAGATGTTTATTGGAATCGATTCGATGATACTATTGTTACACATTCTGATATTACACAGTCAAGCTATTTAACTTCGCTCTTGTTAAACCTCACTTCTGAGATAACAATGGACAATGTTGAATCATTTCTTTCACATGTACCTAGGCTAACGCATCTTCGATTGATTGGTCAGAAACCTTTAACTGACCCTCTATTATTTGACGGTTCTCGATGGGAAAATTTCATTCAAACAAAATTAAGCTTACTGAACAAGTTTGAATTCTGGTTCACTCGTTACGCAATCAATAATCAAGATTATACTACTATAGAACCACTGATTGTACCATTTCGAACATCATTCTGGCTTGAATTCAAACATTGGTTTGTTAAATGTGACTATGAGTACAATCGGAAATTTCATCTCTATTCAATACCAATCTTTCAAGATAAGTTTTATTATACTCATCCAGAAACTACAATTCAGCATTCTGCGTTGAATAATGTTGATAACAATACAACAATCATCGTCAATACGCATCGATTATCCGTAGAATTAAGCCGAATGATCGATGAAAACATTCGACAAAAGGTAACGATTATTTTACATTTTCAACTCGATTATTTCTTCTCAGAGAAAATCGATAGATAATAATTTGAGTCTAATGACGAGTTTTGTTAAATACTTTTTGTTAGACTCGTATTGATTACTACTGGTTTTTTGGTGCTAATTGATTTTGAAAGATTGTAATTGTTGTTAAAATCATCTTTCATTGTTGATGAAATTTCCCAGAAAAATTTCAATAAAAATTATGAATCTTCCAGAATAGATAGAACTCGAACAGTAAAATAAAAGTCGTACTAAATCTGACAATGCTGAAAAAATGACTCGTTTTATTCATCAAGTGAACTAATCATTTTTCTGGTGTTAGAAAACAATTCATTCATAATAATTTCCAAAGAATGCTCAAAACTGCCACTATTTACTTTCATACAGAAAATCTTTAATTCTTCTATGATCATAAAGATCTCAATTAGACTAATTTATATACCGAATTTCAGAATTTTTTCGATGTACTCTCCATCTCTCCGACGAAAGAGTACATCGAAAAATTCGGCGATTTGTTACATAAGTTTGTTTGATGGTGATCTTCTTTGAAGCAATTTTTCAGATAAAAAAAATGGAAAATATGATTTTATTGAATAGTTTGGTTTTACATAGAATAATTCATCGATAATTTAATATCTTGGTCGAAATACAACAAGATCATGAACACTTAAAAATATTTTTAGCTACAGAAAAATGCTACGTCTCTTTATTAAAGTAAAAGAGTGAGTGCTTTGAACATTCTTGATGAATTGTTATAAATAACAATTCTGAACTGTTAGATTTACATGAAAATCTATTTATACACATACTAAGTACTATTTTGACAAAGTATTCTGTTCTATTCTGATAAAATGGGAAAATGTACGAAAGCATCCTAAAATTGTTTGCTTTGTTTAACTAACGTTATGTTTTACTAGATCTATTAAGATGAAAGAAATAATATTTTTTAAAAGATTATAACAATCTATCCAACCATGTAGAAACATAAACAAATAATCCTCATTACTTTTAATTCCAAAGCAGTAAAGTAACAATTGCTAAATGGAACATTTTAATAGAAAATAATTGATTACTTTCTGATTATCCTGATCAGTTTGTTTTGAGGGAAACTTGATTTTAAGAAAAATGTAATTAACGTAAAACATTCCTTTTCATTATAGCCGATCATATATTCTTCCATGAATAGTTATAAATTTTTGCATTTGCACATTGCTTTGAAGTAAATATTGTTGAGACCTCGTGGTGGATTTTAGTAAAAAGACGCATATAATTATGTATTTGTGACGATCATTTCTTATGGAAGTCTCAAGAAATAGTTTTGTTTCTCGTTCTCTATAACAATGAAGATTTTTTGCTTGTAAGATATTTGATACAGAGCATTCGAACATATTGTTTAAGATAAAGCTTTTAAACTTTCAAAGTCAATGTAGATTGTAAAATTCTTTGAAAAGACTTGTTGATTTCATAGAAAAACGATCTGTATTAATTTTGTGATTTTTTGAAATAGAATAGTTTTATATTTCACTTTCCAATATTCTTCAAAATTATACATTTTTGTTTTTAGACAAATCCAAAAACAAATTATCTATTTCGAAATGTAACAGAACTTACACTGATGATTGATCGAAAATGGCCTATCGGATCAATTGAACATCTTTCAACAATTGTTAATCTATCGAATCTTCAAGCACTACACTTAAATTTTCGATGTGAGTGCAAGTTCGCTGTGAGTTTGGATATCGAAATGAATACTCTATTCAAACGAGCATGGAATCTTCGTTCAATTCAAATAAGTTGTCATGATTCTCAGAGAATTAAGTTAGTAACTCTTAATGCTATCTCTTTGAAATTACCACGTCATATCAAACGTCTCGATACTGATATCACGTATGTCGACGATGCAAAAATAATATTGGAACGAGCCGAACATTTATCAAGTGTTACATTTCGACATTGTGACGAATATAATTTCACGGATAAGATCATTGAATGGCTCTCGTTATTGGAAAGAGATGTGGTGTGTGAGGTAAAGCCGAACTTATTTCTTCACTATGGTTGGAACTGTCCAATACACTTGTGGCTTGGCAAGAGCGTCAATAAGCAATCGAACACATCAGTTAGTCACAAACGTATCAAGCAAACCCATCACGATCACTATTCATGATTGATTGGCTTTATTGATTTCGACAGACATGATTTCAAGTATTCATTGCATGATTGATCTTCAAATCAAAATCAAAATATTTGTAATTACAATAACTTTCCATTACAAAAAAAATGTGCGCGCATGTCTTCGCTTCGTGTATATCTATACACTTCACATCCTTGTCAATACTTCGTTAATCTATATACTACGGTTTCTTATCTAAGGCATTTTTATTTTTAAATAAATATAAACAATTTGTAAATACTTGATCAATTCGGTTTCAATTAAGTTAAAAATAAATATTTTTCTTGAAATAAAATTTATATCAAAGAATTTGATCATTATGTGCAAAAGGGAAATTAATTGATGAAATTTTTCAATAGATAAATATGTCAGTTATATAAATAATTTCTCATAACAAGCATTCAACTGAATTATCAATAGTAAAAACAATCCTTTCAAAATGGTTTGTTTCATAAGATATTGATGATGTTTTAAGATTATCGAACAATTTAATTCACATATTTCAAATATTCATTTTAATAAGAGTAGTTTATCGATTGATGTTTATGATAAATAATATTATCTTTTGAAAAAAAGATTAATTAACGGTCAGTATGCTCTTCGCCGAAATTCAACGAATTCCATGTCGGCTATGCAACTATCGACGACGTCTGTTCTCCCCGATTTTCATTTCAATCAACAAACCAACGACTGGTATTCTTAGATGAGATTTGCAGTATCAGAAATCTTTTATTATTATTGATAGTTACACTTAGTGTATCGAGTAATTATAATGATGTGCCAAGTTGATAACTAACTTAACTGAGTGATTAAGAAAGTTTTTAAGTTCAATTAGAAACCTATTTGAATCATGAAAGAGATTTTCTAAATTAACCCATTGAGTCACATAGTAATAAAAACGCTACACTTGTTTTCTCACCCACATGCTTAACTTAAATAATTTGAGACTGAAAGAGATCAGACAGGAGCTAAGTCAAATTCGGAACTAAGCTGACAACTTAATAAGTGATAGTATGAATGTGTATCATAAATATTCTGAAGAAGTGAACGGAGAATGATCGCTGAAAACTGCATTAGAGAAGTGAAGCTTATGAACACAGATGATCGAAAAGCATTCGGTGATCTTCATTCGAATGAACTTCATATCGATGATCTCTATTTCGACCATGTTCATTTCGGCGATGAGGTATACAAGAGTCGATTCCGGGTACTGATTTTTGACTCTTCCAGCACTTTTCTCAACCGGTTGCAACCAGTTGAAGTTTCGGTTGTTCGAGGAAAATAATCATATCAAAAGAGTACTTTCAAGCGTTTCAGTAGATACAAGCCTATCATGATAGCAGTTTCGACTGGTAAGTTTAAGTTCCATTGTGTGGAACTTCTTCATGGAGCGATTTTGAAATGCTTTTTTTTTATTCGACGATTTTAGTAGAACTATTTGTGTTTAGCAAATATTTCATGATTTCCTAAGCAATATTTAATATCAAATGATAAAATTTTAGAACGGAATTCGTCAGACACCCAAAACGTAAACATAGTTTTTTGTCAAACAAGTTCATTACACAACAACTGAAATTCGAGATAAGCTTTCCTTTAATATGCAACGTGCAAAATTCTACTGAAAAGATGACTTACATAGTAGAATAAGTGTTCATATTTAGTTTAGATGTTTGACGAAAGAAAATCGTAAGTATACATTTTCGAATTAACTACTTCGTGTATATCTGATAGATTTCAACGATTAGAGAATGAATTGTTTTTTTATAAATTTATTTAAAATTTTTTTTCTCATAGAAATTATTCAATGATTTATTGTTATCATCAGATTTTTTATTTCATGATGGATATTCAGTACCAAAAGTAAAATGTCTTCATGAATATATTGATAAATTTTCATTAATTGATCCACTACAAATTTTTGGTCTTCATCCAAATGCTGATAATAACATATTCAATAAATCGACTTAAATCTATGCTTGAAAAAATTGTTCATAATCTTGTGAATGATATGTTGTTGACATTGCCAAACAATTTTAGATAGCATGAAGAATATTTTTAGAAGAAATATTTGCAAATTTAGATTTTCTTTTGAATATATACGAGAAAAATCACGAAATATCGGTATATTGAATCCAATAATCTGTATTGTTACGTCAAGAAATTTATCGAATTAAGTGTGTTAAACGCATTGTAAGGAATTCTTTGGGTGATTTACAATTAGTTATTGATGGTATAATTATACTGATTAGCGTAAGATTAGAATTTTTGAGGAAATAATTGAAAAAAAAAATTTATTTTAGTCTCTTCATCAAATATTTGATTCGATCTATGATCGAATTCATGAAAATTTTTTTTCTTTTGCTGTGGTTTTTTTTATCTTATTATTTTGATAGGCCAATCTAAGTGCTTATGGGTGATGGATTTCTTTAATCCAAATCGTAAATAACTTGTATTTAGACATAAATTAAAATTTTAAGCTGTAAAACCGTATGAAACTTTGTATTGCAAAATAAAATCAAAAGTATGATACGATTAGTGAAAGGCTCGACTGACGAGAACTACTGTAAAAGTAATAGGATGCGAGTGTGAATGTTAGTTGTGGGTCTAACCCTCATTATGCACACACATACGCACACTTTGCCTACACCTCACATACTGATACACCAACTTCCTTGTGATCTGATTGGATGGAACATTTTTAGAATATGTTGTTGGCAGAGAATGTGAAATTTACATTTGGCTAATGCTGAATTATGCTAATAATGAGTTCAAAAACACTGAAAAAGCAGATCATCAAAATCGGAATCGATACCATCAAATATTTAAATAAGTTGAAAACTGTTGTGAGAATACATACAGTAATAGCTTGTTCACTTAAGAGTTTGAAATAATGACTGTTTCTTTCTTTCATGCATAGTGGTAAGATTAATTTCAATGATAACGCTTAAGAACATGTAAATTGTGCACAGAAAGAAGAACATTTAGAAGTAAAAAAGAACTTTTCTTCTTTTGCATCTGATAACCATCTGAACCGCTTCATTTTATCTTGGTGTTTATGACGGTGTTAACAAAAAAAAAAAGTCTTGCAGAAGAAGCATTGCCTCTTATTGGTTAGAAAGAAATAAAGTTATTTATCTCGTCAAGTTATAGAACGCCAAAGTTGCAAGAGATAACGATATTCTTTCAAACTATTGTGCATTACATGCAATATCATTAGTATTTTTCTGCACTCGATATTTATTGACTTCTAAACTACTTCATTGTGTAACACTCATGGCTGATACACCAGTTGATACATCGGCTGATCAATTAGATTCCAAGAGTGCGACTATACCAACACCAACGCCGAAACCCGAGAAATTTGATGTTGAGGACTCTATTGAAGTAACAGTAAAGAGTGGCAAGTTTGTATAACAAAACCAAAGAAAACTATTGTCATAGATCATTCTCCATGTAGAAAACTAAGTCCTCTGGTTAAAACTCTTCTTGTTCTACTTGTGATCGCGGTTGTGGCGACCGTCGTCACTGTTCCAAGCGTTCTCTTAACTCGATCGACATCAAAACCTTCAACTGTTCCCGAGGAGACTACTTCGTCTGATATATCGTCAACGATAGTTGTCACTTCGACAGTCGTAGAAGCAACATCTGGCACCGCTTCAACAGCCGCAGAAGCAACGTCTGGCGCTGCTTCGACAGCCATAGAAACAACACTGAACGCCGCTACTACAATCACTACTACTGTAATAGAACCGGTCGGTAAGATTCGAACATAGGAAAAGCTCTTCTTTATTCATATGTTCTTTGGCAACAGTCACTCGTATATCAGAGGTGCAGGTGAACAGAAGACCCACATTCTAGCACCACTAAAAACATTTCATTTTTCTAAAATAAATGAAATTGAGTAAGGCTTGATGATGCTGCTGTGATGTCAATTATCGATGCTTAGTTTTTCAAAGTATGTAAGCCATTCAAGCTAAAATTTAAAAGAAAATATCTGTTGACTTGAGTTACTTTGAAAAATACGTTCACATCAATGTTTCATAACTAGCAGTTACCTTGGTTTTTTGCAACTGCATTCACAGCGTTATCGAGTTATTCTTATCTCTACATCAACTACTCTAGTAAACTATTATCAAAACACTGGCGCAAAATATCTACTTATTATTGTGCCCACGTCAATAAATATGAGTCAATTTCAGTAGGAAGACACCAGAAACCAATGACACTTAGAGGTCGTAACCTTGAAGAGAAATTTTCCTGACTTTTACAATGAATTCTGTATAGGTTCTTGTTCTTTTCGACTGGAAAAAGCTAAAACTCTTAGAAAAAATTATAAAACTTTCTGACTTCATATACTGCATCGAAGTTCCACCGATTTTCGTCCATCTTTCCGAAGTCTGAAATCATCGACATGGTTCCACATGGTTGAATGCCTTTCGTTAGCAGAGCAATATCATGTAGTTAATAGTATTCAAGAATTCAGACATAGAAATGCCTCAATTATTGAACAACTATTACAAGCAGCAAGGTTATTTGTAGGGAAATCGAAGAAAAACCATAAATTCTTTCCCAGTTCCATGATCCTTAATAGCTTGAGTAATGCGTTTTCTACAATACATTCGCAATCATGAATTCATTTTTACATAGGGCTTCCCTAATCTTGATGTGAGTGTGATATATTTCTTCGATAATATCTGATCCAAAGTGAAAACTTTTATCGACCATCTATACAGAAAATATGTTAAAAGAAATGCAAAATCAACACAGTTCTCCCGATTACAGGATAAAGAATTTCGTGTAACAAAATTGAAACTTTGTTTTACTCTATAGAGTGTTCAAAGTGTTTTTACTTAAATTAACAAACAATTTTCATATTACAATATCATAAAGCACTTCACCTCAGTACAGACGATCTTGTGTGTTCAATAGTACTTCACTTTCCAACCTGAATATATTTGAACGAGTTGTTTTAGGATGGCTTAACACTGGTAACATGAATACTGCACGATTTCATCATACAGCATCCGTATTAACAAATAGAAAAGTGTTAGTTACTGGTGGAGAGAACATTAGTTTTGTTTTTAGTAGTACTGAATTGTATGATCCATCAATTGGAACTTGGACAATCGCTAGTACTATGAATAATGCACGTCGAGACCACACAGCATCCGTTTTACTAAATGGAAGAGTATTAGTTACTGGTGGATATAATGGTACTTTTGATCTAGATAGTGCTGAGTTGTATGATCCAACAACAGGAGCTTGGACAATAACTGGTAGTATGAGTAATGCACGATATTGGCATACGGCATCCGTATTAAAAAATGGACAANTCATTTTTTTTCTTACTTTTTCAGTTTCTATTGATCATTCTTGCTGATCAACGTTCAATCGTTCTCTTTGTTTGTGGTCGCATGAAATCAGCTCGCGACTCATGGATATAGCCAACTGATTACTTTATTTAATTTTTTTCATTGATGATTATCTTCATACTATTTTCCATAGGTTCACAAAACTATAATAACATGTCTCACCTCGCTTCATCAAGCTTTCCATTCTTGTTATCAATAACAATTTTGGCTCTAATAAAAATATATAAAGTACGATTTAGTTATGGTGTTCAAATTTTTTTTGAGAATTTAAAGAAAAAATCACTGATAGAAAAGACAAATAAATGAATTTTTTACAGCAAGTGGTCGATATAGTGATTGTGGTATTCTATATGAAGTTTCATCTCCTCTATTCACTATTATGACATCACTTTGCATTCAACAGCACATTTGTAGTTGAGTTCTGTAGTTATTGCTTTGTTTACACTTATTCATCAAGTCTTGATACTTTTTGAGAACATTATAAGTGGCACACGACTTCTAAGCGATATTAACACTGACTATGAGCCGACTGCAGGTGTGGATATGTGAGGTGTGAGTGTTGATGTTAGAGGAAAACAAGATCACCATTCAAAGCCACATCTATACTCACATATCCACACCCACACCCACATCCTGATAGAGAGTATCTAATGGAAGTGAGAAGAGGGTAATATAAGGATTCTTGTTATAGTCGAATGAGTGAGTGATTCTACTTCAAACCACATTGTGTAATTTCCTGTTTCTCAAGACCTTTTGAGTAGATCATAAGCACCTAACCAGGAAACCGTCTTGATGTAGATGACATATGGCTAGTACTTCGAACTCACGCATGAAATATGTGAAAGTCTACTTCATTCGTGTATGATCTTGTGGTGGTATATAGAAATTGATTGTGAATAATATCAATTTCATTCGGAATAGTCATTTCTTGATTCATTGTTATATATTTGATAGAGAGAAGAGAAAACCTAAGCATCGCAATGAGTTTATTCGATAGAGTAACGTTGAACTCGCTGATTATAATGATCGACGACATAAAGATTGCCCTGTCGATCGAAGGACAAACCCATGGGAAAGTCCAACTGATTTGCTCCTATTCCTTTACCATTTCCACCCATAATGACACTTCCTTGTTTCGCTCCATTAGGCCAACGCATTACTCGATGATTCCTTGAGTCTCCAATGTAGATAGTACCCAATGTATCGATGAACACTCCATTGGGATATGACAATTGTGTTAGAGCCTGCCCTTCGCCTTGACCTCCAGCGACGATAATCCCTTCTCTTGTACCTTTATTCCATTTCATCACACGATGATTGTTTTGGTCTGACACGTATACAGTCTGTTGTGGATCGACAAATATGTTGGTCGGCATATTGAGTTGATTCAAACCATTGCCTTCGCCATTGCCACCGGCTACGAGGGCTCGATGGTTGTCTCCCATCTGATAGCGTCTTACTTCATGTTTTTCAATGTCAGAGATGTAGAGATATCTCTGATCATCCATAGCCATTCCCCAACAAGCAATATTGTCGATCAGAATCTCTCCTTTGGTAGTGCCACTACGGCGAGACCATCGTACAACTCGTCGATTCTCTCGGTCGCAGACAATGAGACTATCTGTCTCTTTGTCGATGAGTACATCAGTTGGACCATTCAATTGATCCAGTCGATTTCCATTGCCATTACCACCAGCCACCACTTGTCCATTCATATCACCCATTCTCCATTGGACGATACGATGATTGAAACAGTCAGCGATGACCATTATCTGATCATCATCAACAAAAAGACCACAAGGACCCCAGAGTTGATTAGTAGAATTTCCCTTTCCATGACTTCCAGCAACGGTCATTCCATTTTGTGCCCATCGAGCATTGGTTGAAACATTGGGAATCACTATAATCAACGAGAAAAAAAAACGAAATCGCTGCCATTGCTGAAGAGATCCTTCTCTGACGGGAATGCACTACGGATCCATTCTAACGAAAAAAGGAATATGATTATGAAATCTAAAAGGATTTTTCCAGTGGATACAAAATCGTAATCTGTTTTAGATTCCTTTTGAAAAATGATATCTTACCAATTCATACATTTATATCACTTAGACTTATCTACCTATAACTATATCTCTAGACCGCCAAAAGAGAATTTATCCGAACTTGATGCATCATTCATAACAGAACACTTTTTCTTCTCGTAAATATATATATTTTTCACTATGAAAAACAAGTTCTTAGATGAGAACAGCAAAACAAAGTCCACGGTTCGATCGTCATGAATATTCATATATAACTGAAAGATCAACAAGAGAGAAAACTCATCGCCGTTGTATAAAGTATTATTCAGATTACTTTCATTCTCATCTCTATACGTACATTATTACAAACGTTGTTATCAGACCAGCAACAGATTATGCACGTACAATGGATGATAGAATGGTTGAACTTTGAAAATTCGACAAATAAATTACCTCTCTGGCGCTCTTCATAATCAAGAAACTTCAGAGGTTATAACTAAAAATTGTTGTAAAAGTAAAGTGCCTCTATATTCACTGATAAAACGAATAAAATTCAACGTTTCGCACAGCGTTGATTAAATCGTATCTTGAGTGAGGGTAAAAAGAAGATTCACACCCACATCGACACCTATCTACCTAAACTCACATTCACCTTTCTAGGCACATATGCGCGTTCTCCAAAACAATTTTTGCGAGGATGCTTAAGAATCTCACTTGATTTTGGGAAGTAAATTTTATAGTTGAAATGATAAACACAAATTACAATTGTTAAATTGGGTTGTCTTTTGCATAGACTTTCGCATGGTCTTCTTAGTCTCAGAAAGAATCAGCGTTCGTTGTCATTTTTAATGCAAACTATTACCGAATCTTTATGGAACATGAACATGAGATTATTTTAGATTGTCATAACGTTGTTGGCGACTCTAACGGTTTATGTGGTAATTGATGATATAAAATATCATCTACGTGCCATTTGTAAGAAAGAAAAATCTTTTTTTTTGTATCATTAAAACCTAATCAGCAGTAGAAAAAGTAATATTCAAAAATTCAGTTCAATTTTGCGTGAAATCCACAAACTAAAGATATCGAGAAACTTAGAATAGACATGTAAAAGTTTTGCCTCTTTTCTGGATTACAATTTGTTCAAGATCATTAGATAGAACCAAATATATATGAAAATCAAACGATTTTATTTTAAATCTTTTTCCACTAGCATGGAAGATTTCTAACATGAGAAATCAAATTTTCCCCCATTGATATTGTCTAATATAGTGGTTAGGTCACAATAAATGACTCTATTTCTCTGTCAGTGCTTGGTTAATTTTACATCTCAAGGTCATTTTTGTAGAACGAAATGCTTTTACCAAAAAAAATGTAACAGACTATTTGTTTTCAAATGTGAATCTGAAGTTTTAAACAACATAGGTTATTGTCATTGTGCCAGACAACTACTGTTTTTGTTTCCATGTGAATGTCGCACAGCTGTGCTTATCCATAGAATGAATGAGGTATTTTGTTCCTGTTCCGTAGTCAATGGAGTAGTCTATACAAAAATTCATTCGCAGCGAATGTAAAAAGAAAAAATTGAGCAACCTGAAAAGAAAACTCCAGTATTTTCCTTTTTGTTTCGCTTCTAACTTATGTCAAATAGTTCCACTTTGTTATCTATTAACTTGAGACTGAATGCGTAATGGCAGAGAAAAAGAAATTGACTTGAGCGTCTTCTTCTACTACAGAACGTCGCTTTGAGCTCAAAGTTCTCTGTCAAACTCGATACAGGGTGACTGACTTGAAAAGATGTGCATTAATAGAAAAAAAACGCTACTTATCATTTGCGAACATGAATAAAGTTAAGTTTAAGTATAATAAGATTGTTCTAAATTTTTCATTGATAATAAAGTTGACCATTTTATCAGTTTCCTGTAAGACAATTAAATTTTACACCTAACTTTTAAAGACTCGATTAATGAGAGTGCATATAAAAAATAAATCATTTTTAAAAACTTTTCTCTACAGTTATGTCATTTTAGGAGAAGTCACTGCAATGTAGAGACGCTGTAGCATTTTAAGCAGAGAAGTTTTTGATCTAGGTAGAATTGAGGCGAAATGAAGAGAGTCGTACACGGTATAAAGAAAGAGTTTCTTCAAATAGTAATTGACAAGTATTATATCAGATAAAATTATATTCATATAATAACTGGTCTTGAAACTAATCTAACTCTTAACATAAAGTATTATTATCTGTTAAACTTAACATGAGTTTTGTGAAAGAGAACTAAGTATTTTGAATAAACATCGACTATTATATGGCTAAATGATTTTTTTAGGTATTTGATAGAGTAATACTCATAATGGGCAAGAAAGGGTAATTTATTAGTGTGTGTCCGTTCGATATTTGATTTCATGCTACAATGACATGCTGTCTGGTGAACCCTATTAAATTGCAGTTAGTTAAATGTAAAACTGAATATAGAAATTTTCTTAAAATTGCTATGATTGAATTTAAAAAAATATATATAAAATGGAAATTCGAAATTCAGCTAAACAGTTTTTCAATTTCCGTTCTATTTTTGTAAATGAGAAGACACGCATCAAATTACTCGCAATGAAAAGCTTCATTCAGAATAGTTTCATTGTATCTCATGATATTGAAGCCGCGTATGTTCATGAATGAACCTATTTCACAAATACGCTCATCATAACATGTCTTGTTCTAGTGATGTTTCACTAGTTCAATAAAGATGAAAAAGAAGAACTTAAAAATTAAAGAGATTCAACAATGCAAAGCAAATAACAATGAAGACATCTAATTTATTTTACCTGTGATTAAGTTGTTGACTGACATGTCAACTGTCTAGAAAAGTATATTATTAGAGAAATAACATCAGTTCTAGAAGCTGCATCTTTTTACTAACCTCATAACTTCTGGCCATACATATAGATGTGGCACTGGAGGTTTCCTTTGCTGATGGAGTAAATCTTTGTTTGATTTTAAGAATCTGTGTAGAAGCTTTGGTTTGAGTACCTGCAACATAGCCAAGACAACACATACATAGACAGTGTATGCAAGTTTTTTAGACAAAATCTAACCTATCCACACCCCTAAGGTAGGTAAAAATATCTCTATCACGAAGCGACAAACATGACATTTTTGAACATCAGCTGTAGTATAGAAGTCCTCTCAGCGTTTTTTTTTCAATTTTCTCACGTCTGAAGAAAATAGATTGTGATTTCTGAAAAGTCATAATCCATAAAGTCTCCCTTTCTTTCCGTAAAACACGACACCTGATAAAAATATAGCCTAACAATGATGCCTCATAATTGAGCTGATAGCAAATTTCGACTATGATGTGTGCGGGTGTGGATGTAAAGAGGGCCAACATCCACATACAGGCCCATAAGTTTTCTCGATTTACCTCTGCAATCGCCTATTGGGTTTTGCAGGAATGACATACGTGATGGTACCACATGTTTGTCGTCAGCCGATACTTGAATAGGTATTTCGCGTAGGGCCATATCGACATTGTTGCCATTAACACGCTTTTCAATACCAACAAATGCTGTATGTGGACTGAGAATGTTGTACTGAAGTGAAAGTTCGATTATACGTTTCTTTGTCTCTTCTTTCGTACCATCTAGCTTCGTCGTGGACTGTTGATTTTGTTCTTGGAATCGAGCTTGTTTCGAGCCAGCAATATTTTTTTCTGTTGATGATGGCACTTTTGAATGTTGCAATTCAAGGATGAGTGCTTTAGCAGCTAGCCGAGAAATTGTTTCATCATTGCTTACACTCGGAATTCGATCGATTTGAACTCCTCCTAAACGATGTTGGCCAACGTACAATTCGATATTTGCCTGATGATCAAACGCTATCGATGTGTCATTGATCATAGCATAAACAATCAAACGATCATTGACATAGACAGGTGGTGTCTTGATTGGCACACTAGTCACTGGTGTAGCTACATTCCATTTGATTTGAACATTGGTAATACATGGTTGGAGTGCTTTACGCAATTGTTCGTCGACATACACATTAACACTTGTTGTGTTGGGAGGAATGAAGACGAAACGACCATTCGTTGCACGAGCAAGACCTTTGACAAGCGAGCGACTTGGGGATGAACCCAAACCAAACGAAAAGATTCGAGTCGATGTAGACATCGACCGACATAGATCAAGCACTTGGTTAACATTCGAAATCTCACCATCCGTTAGAAGAAAAATTTGACGAGAATGACCTTGTGTAGGTGGATGCTCTTCCAACCATTGAAAAGGTTTCATCTACAATGAAAGCACAACTGATTATCACAGACAAAAATAAGAATAAGCGTTCAAACTCACCAACTCAGTCCCACCTAAATCTGCCGTCATATTTTTAGTAAGCTGCTGAGCTTTCTGAACATTGTCTTCATTATAAATGACTGTGACATCATTGAACAAAGTCTTATGTTCACTTCCGAATCGAATGATATTAAAATGACAACCGACAGGAAGACTCTTGAGAAAAAGTTCCAAGGTTTGGCGAGCGACTTCGATCTTGTTCTCACTGTCCATCGATCCACTACAGTCGACAATAAACATGAATTCATTGGTGATGCCAGCATTGTTCAGAGCAAGCCGACAATCTTCTTCGGTAGGCGTGAACGAGGCCATAATTGCTCCTTGTTCAATCGCTACAATTGTGTTCGGTCGAGTTTTCGCCAATTCAATGTCTACGAGAATGTCACGATCTAAATGAGTATCTTTTTGAGCAAATTCGACTACATAGACATCTAGTTGAGCGAAATCGATTTGAATCGGATGAGATAGTGAACTGATACGAGCAATGCCAGCTTTTTCTATGCGACAGTGAAATTCGATCGTAAACGAACTTGACTGTACATAATTTGTAGTAGTACCAGCAGGTGAACTAATACCACCCTTGCCTGGATTGTAGCGAGGTGCAATCGATGTTGGAACGACAAGTCGAATTTTTGTACCATTTTCAACAAGATCTAACTCAGAGACATAGGAGATGATTATTTTGCATTCTTTGCCAGGTAGAAGTGCACCAACGTTGATGATGAAATTGTCCGGCGAGTTTTCATCTTGTTCGAGCATGTAAGCACCATGACCTTGTTGAAGTGCATCATTGTACTCTTGTTGAGCTTCTTTCTTCTCTTTCAATTCAGCAATAATCTCTCGGTCGTCAATAACAGCTCGAAAAGCATACACAGCTGCTTGTTCTTCCATTGGAAAACAATAAACTGCTTCGATCGGTGTCGTTTCATCATTTCGAAACACTTGTGTTATGGTTACGTTGGCAGCAAACGATCGAACTGTTGCTTCGATATTCGCACATTTGAGAGGGACATACTGTTGTTGAGTATTATGTCTTATGGTCTGGTTATTCTGTTTGATTTGAAGCATGCTTTCACTGTATTGATGCTTGATGCTATGGAACTTTCTTTGGTTGTGAACAAATATGAAATGAAGAATCAACGAAAAAAAAAACTCAAATTTAATCGTAACTGCTGTCAAGTTACCGATAAAAACACAATAAGTCAATGCCGTCTGAATTACTTAGAAAGATTGACTGCGATGGATGGCGTTAATTGTCTAAAATGAGAATCCAATAGAACAGAATGAAGAAAAAAATCCATAGACGAAAACAAAATGTTTATTTTGAAATGTTAGAAAGAATTAAATTTTTAACGAAGTACTTTTTCTATTCAATCAGAGTTTGTGATCAATATGGTGGGTAGAAGTTTTTGTGCAAAAATAAAAACAGTGTCATCGTATTTCATATTTAAATCCTATAGAAACTATGCTGAAATCTTTTGCTACACTATACGATATTAAATGACGGGTTTCTCTTCAAAATGGTATTGAATTAAGAAAATTATATGAGCAAAGTTTCCCATTTCTTCTAACGTTCACGTCTGTTGTGGCAAGAAAAAATTCTAATTATTATTGCTTGAATGAAAACATTCAAATTACGGCATAAACTCAATGCTTCGACTCTTTTCAATTCTACAAAATCTGTATCTTATTAGTGTAGGGGATTTTTCAGAAGATGCATTAGTACTATTGTTGGTTACTCAGGGGAGCAACGTCTAGAAACTTACTTGAATAAAAGTGTCGACAGCATGATTTATGGTTGTCGACATCTATTCATTCAGCGTTACTTCACCCGAGTATTGACTGTTTTCTTTTTTTCTTGGAAGTTACAAAAAAACCCACTGTTGACAAACAACAAAGTGCACCATTTTTCTTTTTCTTACTGTATGAGAGAAAGTTTGGTAAGAGAATGGAAAATGATGCAGTTTTATTCCCTGTTTGCAGTGGGCTTTTTGCCAACTTCGTAATACAAAGTAAATACTCAGGTTAAGGTATACGCGGCGCTGGCGTTCTCCATATAATTTTGCCTCCAAAGATGACTATATTGGTAACAATTCAACACAATAAAAATATTCAAAAAAGACAAATTTTCAATAAACCAAAGCTCAACAAAACTGTGATAATCATGCTTTTTCAATGCTACGTTTTCGCGAAGCGAAAATTTCTGCATCATTGTGAAAAATTTTAAATTTCATGGTGACGATCTTCATCAAAAAGAAGTATAGAAAAAAGAAATATCTTATATAGGTACAATATAGCTGTTAGAAAAAGATGTTTCGCACATTTAGTGGATAAAGCATATCATAACAGTAAGGGAATATGGGTATTTTTGATTTTTCCGACTCTCTTGATTATTCTGAAGTTTTTTTACTAAGAAGATTTTTTTCATTTAAAATTGTCAAAAAAATTAAAAATATCAAGTGTTTACTCTTGACGCTTTTGATCAAAAATAATTAGCTTAATCATTTTAGTCAATTTTATCAAAAAAGATCTAATTTCAGCTCTTTTCCCTCTTGGATGAGTTTCACATTACAACTCAAAAGAGATTGCTGTAAATAAGCTTTTTTTTTTAGAGAATATTTTTTTTTATATGCATTCACTAATCTCAAGTTCTTTTTTTATTTTTATAAAATAGAAATTGTAAAACTTTCGGTCAATTATGATTATAGAAACGAGTTCAAATATAAATGGAGATTTCAAAATTTAAAACTACTAAATTAAGCCATACTCACCCCATATACCCAAATCTGCTTCTCACACCCTGAGTGTATTTGATGATCATAATGTCTTTTATCTGTGTGATACAGCATTTTTTAAGAGTAGTTAAAAAAATACATGTTTTTGATTTTTGATAAAATCTTTATCAGTAAATCTATTTGATAGTATTAGAAATATTAATGTTCGATCGAAGATTTGAAATCATTTTGAAAAGAAAATAACTAACATCAATTCAATTCAATTTTGTCTTATCAAATAATTCTATCGAAATTTGTCTTTTTGATTAAATCATAATTCAGTGAAAACAGAGCTAATTGAATAATGAATCATTAGATCTTTTTTCTATTTGTTCAGCGTAAGTATGGTACATTTCTTCACGGTGATTATGGTCTTGGTCGTGATTAGTTCATGATTTGGATTATCAATTGACATCACATACGTGATGTTTCTTTTTATTCACGTTTTATTGGTCGATGCCGCCCATGAAAAGCAAAACAAACGAACAAATCAATTAGTTGCCTATAATACAAAAACATTCTAACTTTGATGCATACAAGAATACTTGTTATCCTAAATAGAATGACTTTTTCATATTAAACTGATTTGTAAAGCTTGTTACTTTAAATAAATTTCTCTGATCAGTAATATTTGAAAATGTGAGTGATGGATACTATTCGTTCTTCATTTGAGTACTATAATGCTGCTTTATCAGCTATCGGATAAGCAGGTAACGAAAAATTCTGGATTTGATTCTTTCGTCAAGGAAAGCCTATTTTGAAAAAATAAAAAAAGTTTGACTAAAAACTCTCTGAGGTAGAGATAGCTTGGCCGAGAAATGAAGTACATAATTCTGAAAAACCGATTACAGATTACGATTCCTTGATTCCGGACATCTTTTTGTCAAACTTTATAAAAACAATTCTTATTTTTCCAAAATATATCTTCCTAGACGAAAGAATTAAATTTAGAATTTTCTATTCCTAATCGATTTCAAGTCAAGAATTGGAATCGGTATACTCCTATTATAAAATGATTTTTTTAATAAAGTAATTTAATATTCTGATGGATCTTAAAATTCTCTATCACTTTATACATATTTGTTTGTTAAAGAATAATTCGTGTACTACGCAGGCGCCCTCCTTGACAGAACCGAAAAAAAAGTGGGTTTTTAAACAATCTCTTTCGTTTTTTATTACAAAAGTTTTGAATGGCTGACCATGTAAGGCACTATCAGCTCATAGAATTACTTATTCTATGCTTTGATTGCTATATTGTTGATAAAATCGGAATAAAAAGAAAAGTGACACTGGAAAATCCAGTTTTTTAGAGTTTAATAAAAAAAAAAAAGTATGCCTAAGTATTACTCGTATTATTTTTCAATAAAAAAATGCAAGACAATAAGTAAATATATAGAATGACAGATAAGTCAAGCTGTATCTGAATATATGATTCCTTTGTTATGAGAGTAAATCTATAGTAATGAAAAGTTTTAAAAACTATTTTTGATGACAGTAAGAAACTCAAGTTCGTAGAAATCTAGTGATGAGGATGCCTTCATTGGATTCAATATAGTTTCTGATACTTTAGTTTAAATATACAAAGAAATAGAAAAATGTAATTCCTTTCAGAAGATGCAATTATTTTTATAAATGATTTTTTTTTTAAATAAAAATATTAATTTCAAGCAACAAGAAAAAATATTGTTAAAAATAAAAACAAAAAGATAATGAATTACTAAATAAATGCTGATTATGCGGCTTTTATATAATAAATCCTAAACATAAATATCCAATTCTCATAATTATTCATAATAGTGAAGTTATCAATCAATTGCATTTAGTTACAAAACGAATTTTCTTTTCATTAACTTTTTTTAAATTAGAGTTTTAATATTAAAATAAAACATAGTGTTCCTATTACCATTATTTGAAACATGATCATTCTTTGATGACACTACTCGTTACTTTTTTCAAGACAACTGTGTTTTGTCTACGTCAACACCAAGTTTCTGTTTTCTTATGTTTTAGATGATGCTGATCAAGATGAGAACATCAAATGCAAAAATTGAATTTTGACCAGCGCTTCGTTTTCTTAATGGCCTCACGAATACTCTCTTAGGTAAACAATGGATTTCAATACAATCAGGTTTCTTTTTTTTTCATAGTATAACCACTTATTTGCATTGCTATTATGATCGACATAAGCAATATTCAATGAAGCATGACTAAAAAAAAGCATGGATATATGAAAAAATAAGTTAGTATTTCATCTGCTTTGTTCGTCATGAGAGTGTCTACATTAAGAGTCAAAACGTTGATCATATTTTTTCAAGCGTTCTTTTTTATATTTATTTGCTACTATTTGTTTAATATTTATTGTCCTGATGGTAAATGTGGAAAAAAAAATTCGCCTCGAGTTATTTACCCTTCGAATTATTTTTATCCTTGCATTGCTGTACTTATTGACTTTCGTACAGTTGATCGTATAATCACTATTGTTCATAATGTTAATCAGCATATTCCGTCAACATGGCCAATTCAAATATTTCATGGAAAAGAAAATGAAGATTTCATTAAAAATTCAACTTTAGCACCACTAATTGCATCAAGAAAAATATTTCTTACTTTAATGGATCAAGTTTATGGCTATGCTCGAACAAATGAATTATTAACAGATCCTAAATTTTGGCTACGCGTTCGTGGTGAAAAAGTTCTTTTGTTTCAAATCGATTCAGTTATGTGTTCAAATTCTCCGCATAAAATCACTGATTATCTTCAATATGATTATATTGGTGCTCCATGGGATCCATCTTGGTATGGACCTAGCAAGGATTTAGTCGGTAATGGTGGATTTTCATTACGAAGTCGTAGTAAGATGCTTGCTGTACTTGCACTTGTTCCATATGATAAATCAACACAAGAAGACGTTTGGTACTCACTGAATTTACGCTTTGTAAATGGATCAATTGCTCCAGTAAATGTAGCTAAAACATTTTCAGTTGAAACACTATATTATGAAAGACCATTAGCTGTACATCGACTTCCTGTAAATTGTTCAATTTTAACAAAATTGTTCAAAACATGTCCTGAATCAAGGATAATAGCGATGAACACCTGCAAATAAAAAATGAAATTTTAGCTAACAAGAACTGCGAATATAAATTTTATTAATAAATTCAATTTTTCATTTGCTAACAACTTTTTTATTTTGAGTAGTATCGTTTTTCTGTAACAAGTATTCGAATAAAAACCGAAATTGGAGCAACTGTCTTATGTATATTATAATTATTTGTTTTTTTTGAGAACATTTAAATTTTTAACTACCGAAACAGACAAAAATTTTAGAAAATACATATACACAGTCAAAAACACAACTTTTTGAACATTCAAACGCGTTTGGTAAGAAATGGTCGTGTAAATATTAAAAAGATCTACTACTGCAAGTACGTAAAAGAACACAACTAGTATTTGGCCATTGTTCTTTGTCGTGTACATATACACAAACTCTGTTTTGTGAGCATTTTCATGTTTGATTTGCTTCGTATGCACGCAAACGTTTGAAAAGACACATTTTAATACATGTTTCGATAAAAATTTTATCAAATAATCAAGCTAACAGTCTGATAGAGACCTTTTTGTACGTTTTCTTTGTTTGAAATATTATTTGCTTATCATTTAAGTCATCAGTAGAATAAATGAATAAGTCAATAAGTTTTAATTAGTAATAAAACCAGTAAATTGCATGAACGATCCGTAAATTATTTAAATAATCAATCTTTAAAACATCTAGGTTTGCTAATACATTTAAAAATCACTAAATTACGAAGTAAATACACAAGTCAAAATGTGTTATAGTGTGATTCACTCTTTTTCTCTTCGGATTTTTCATTTTGCTATGTCATACAGATGACAAATGCAACATATATATCAAAATGTCCTCTTTACTTCTGCCCTTTCCTTTGCGATCGATTTAGTGTCAAGAAATAAAACAAATGGAATTAGAACAAATTGCTCAATATGAAAGCGAACAATCAGATGAAGATAGGGATGTGGCATTCACAGAGTGCGACCTCTCCCCCGTCCGCCCACTTTTAGAGAATTTTCAGTTTTCTTCAGTTAAAATCGTACTTTTTATTAAGAAAAAAAAATCGTAAAATGAAAAAAGAAATGTCACCATCTTCCACTTAAAACGAAAAGTTGTATTTGCACTTTTTCAACTCTCGAAAACTTTCCTTGCAACCTCCTCAGCGCTACTTTATTAATTCAAAAAATCATTTGATATTTGTTGTATGTAAATGAAGAATGATTCAGATTGGAAAAAATCGAAATGACACTGTGCAGTTTTTTGTTAAGAATTATATATACAAACATGTTGTTGGTATGGATATTCGTTAGAAATATTGGAAACCATCACAATCAGCAAAACCAGTGCAGGTTAATGGGAAAAGAAAAAGAGATAGACCAGCAAAGGCTAAACCTGCCTTGCTAGTAACTTATAATAATTAAGTTTTCATTCATTGCTTGAATTTCTATTTAAGGAGCCTCCTCCCCCACCTTAGAAAACCCAATTTTTTGAAAAAACACTCGAAATTGAGACTTTATCATAGGAAGATACACTTAAGTTTCTTCTTTCAGAATGCATATGGCTTCACGCAAAACAGTCAAGTTTTAACAGATTTATTGAAGGACACTTAGACTATACTACCACATGTTTCGAGACGTTTTCGTGACTTTGAAAAAAGTTTTCAATTTTTGAGAAGATCATCTTTTTGTTTTGCCTCAGCATTGAATAAAACATTCTTTTATTAATCATTAGCCACCTAATAACACTCAAGATAGGGATTACGTATTAATATTTTATCATCTACACTCAACATAGAGTTCACATATATCGCACAGAAATCCACAGGTTATTGAGAGTATCTAGTTCATTATCTATTTCAAGGTATTCCATTAACGAAACGTAAATAAACTGTAGTGAAGCTTATATATAAGAGTTATATGTTCTTCAGAAATAATCATAGAAAATCAACAACGAAAAGAACAGAGTAGAACAAATATTAATTAAATACGAAAAAATTCAACGAATGCTTGAACAGTGAAGATAACGTCTGGTTTTTGTGAACAGTTTTTGTCATCGATGTGTGATGAATATAAATATGAGTTACTGAGAGAACATGAGTTACGATAATTATAACTCGGTTGTAGCGTCTTACTCAATTTTACCCAAAAACTTTCAGGTTTTTTAATTTATCCAAAGACCGATATGAATCATCGTATTTAGAAAATTTAATAGTATAAGAATACGTGCGTCACCTGAATAAGAGGAGAGTAAAACTATCTGAACATGATAGATGGTGTTAGCATACTTCATTTGTTATGTGCTTTGAAAAATTCTAGTAAAATATATTGAAAATTTGCCATTTTATTATGATTTTTTTCTAAACTCCAACAAAAAAATTGATTTCTAAACTTATTTATCGTTTTTCTCAAAACATGATTTTCGGCTAGGAAAATTGAAATAACTCTCATCCAGTTCAAGGTATAACCAATATTTTTTTGTTTCGAAGATGTTGATGAGAGTAAACTTTTGTCTGAACGGATTTTTTATATTCGATTTCTGTGTTGAAAAAAGTGGAATTTACTGTCATTGGATCATCGTTTTTCATGCTAATTTTAAGACATGTCTACAAAAATACTCATAAAAAATGAGTAATAAGAAATTTAAAAATTCTGTTCAGATAAAAATTATGCACTGACATTGGCTTTATTTTGAAACCACCCCGAACTCCATACCTCTTGTAGCAACGAAGTTATAACGTTTCTTCTGAAGCCCAAAAATAGACTATGAATCAGCTGGAAATCCGGCATAGTTTGACCTATAGGGCTGAAATTTTTACCAGAAGCGTATCTCACTAAGCCCCCCCCCCATTCCTAAAAATTTTTGTCCAAACAGATGACCCCAAGTAGTAAATTGATTGTGAGGGGGCTGAATGTTCTTTTGGATTTCTTCTTATTTCTTCTGCTGATATAATCTTCATTTTTACTGATCAAATTTGAATTTTTTACTGGTACTTATATATAAGAACTGTCCATTTCATTTATTTGAATGAACGAAAATTATATTCTCATATTATTTTCGTTCTTAAATTTTCTAGTATGCAACTATTTGTTCTTATCTTCTATGTTTCACGCAACGCTATTCACTGATATTTTATATTGCAGATTATCAAGAATAGTCCTTTTAAGAATTCGAAATGCAGTAAGACTTTAATACGTCGTCTAATTAATTTATTATATAATATTGATACTTTTTTGAATGAAAAATGCGTAGTTCAGTTTACTGTTCGAGATCTAGTCACGTATACTTTCACAAAGTAGTCTGCATTATTGATGACACCATATGCACTCGCAGCTAGGAACGCATTTCAATGCATCCTATCTATGCAAAACGGGAAAAGAAACTGCATTTACATGCGTTATTGAAACTCAAAATCATCAGCTGCGTATAGAGTAAGCGTATTCTGATGCAAAAGTGAAACCGATCACGTTGAAACGCGTTCAAAAACTAACTTGAACCAGTTTTGATGCGTTTTATGGTTACATGGATAAGTTAAACTTTAACATAGTTGACCTGTTTTAGATAGATACGGAAAATGTTCGCTTCTACACTAAAGTGTGTATCGCGCTTAGTATTCAACCAAGTGTTATTGAGGATGAATTATATTCTGTTCATGGTGATCAAGTTCATTCTCTTAGAATAGTTGAAAGATGATCTAGTTGATCTCGCAAAGGTTGAGAAGAAGTTGAAGATGACGAACGACCTGACAGCCATGTTATTGTAACAACATCTGAAAATATCGAATAGGTCCGCTTTGTTATTGATGATAATCCTTATATTACAAAAGAAGAGATGCAAGCGCAAATTAGTCTAAGTGACAGCACAGTTCAGCGATTCACCTTCGATCATTTAAAACTTTCAAAAATTACCGCTCATTATATACCTAAGCATCTGGTCAATTTGCAACGGACTAAACGAGTTCGAAAATACAAACAAAATTAAGTAAAATTTGAAGAAGGAACATAACTCTGTATCGTAAACTAATTGAGTTAAAGTCACCAAGTGCTGCGTGGGTGACAAGAGAAGACCCTTCATCTACCGTGGTTCGGCGCATTAAGTTTGCTTCAAGAACCTTATTTCTCATCTTTTTAAAATCAGCTGTTCGAGTTTCGATTCATCATGTGGAACGGGAACAAGTTGTCGACCATCAGTAATATATCAACAATGGTTTGCAATTCTTGCTTGACCAAATCAAATATCAAAGAGCATTATTTCGTATCCGTGATATAAAACTTCATCACGATAATAGAAGACTATATATGCATAAAGATGTATCGAATACATTTGACTAATTCTTGTGATTGGGCACAGTGCGATTTTTGGTTCTTTGATTTGATTAAACAGAATATAGGCGATGAAAATTATGCCGAATGATTGTATGATCCTGTAACTAAGTTCTTGTACTCTTTGAATAAAAGGAGTATAGAAAAAACTTCGATAAATGGATTCAGAAAATGCAGTTGTGTGTGGAAAACCAAACTGATTATTTTGAACATTTGATGAAATAAAAACTTGCTGAGCATATTTTTGTCTTTTTTTTTTCTGTTCTACCACCATTACTTTTTTTTTACACTCTAGTATGGATGGACGGCTAGGTATGAGAAGAGAAGAACAAAGAAAAATAAAACCAAAAAACAAGAATGCACATGAATGATAATATGGTCTAATGTTATAGTCAAGTTTTATACAAAAACAATTCCTATCGAAATTTTATTAATATGATATTAGTTGAAGAATAATTAAAAAGCACAGAAAAACAGAGCATCGATTTTCTTATCACCACATAGAAAAAGATTTGAAAACATATCTGAAATTATCTATACAATCGAAAACATCTTTTGAAATAAATGAATGTGAGTACGAAGTTCAGTTCAATTGTTTTTTAGTGTTTTCTAATCTTGTTAATTCCCTAGTAGTGACATTCTAAATCCTTCTTCTTATTCACAATGCATACGCTAATAGTTTAAAAAGGTGTAGAAATTGAATCGTAATGAATAACTCAAATCAGTGATAAAATACGATTTATAGCTCTGATTTATCGCTGGTTTTCAAAGAAATCATTTCTTATGCCATAATCGTGACCAAATCTGACCTAATCACTGATTTTTTCATGAACTGCGACTATTCAAGATATTACGTATGTCGATTTTTTTGAAAATCGTCAAAATTGCTACGATTTTCATGTCATGGACCATTTTACTGTTTATAATAATTAAATTTCGATTATTCTCACGAGTAAAATTTCATAAGTGATGTCAAGGTTTATTGATGAAACCAAAGAAGAAACCATTTTTATTTAAAAAAAATAGTTCAGATGCAATAGAGCGATCAACTATGGCTTGTACTATGGAAAATTGATACAACATTATGAAGCATACGAATATAAGTAAAAGCATTTTGTTGAATTTTGGTTGGTTTTGAATTAATAAAAATGAAACCATGTTATAAACACACGATGATAAAGAAATTTATCAGTTTTCAAGTAATAAATCTATTAAAGAATTTTCAAATAAAATGTATCATTTGAAAGTTGAAAAACTTCTCTAGCTGTTCACATGAAATTCCTATGCTTTATTTATTCAAAATCGAGAAAAAGTCTATTGCAGCATTCTTATATAAATAGTTAAATAAGTATCAACCTTAAAAAAAAATTGTTGTGTCGATAATATTCTTTGATATGTTTCTCCTTTTCATGATTAATTGAATAGGTTTTTTTTTAAGAGATCTTTCAATACAAGATATTGTTTGAGACCGATCAAGGCTTTCTTCATAATGTCTATTTATGAATGTAAATTATACAAAAACTAAGTCAATGACAATAAATTACAAATAACACAACTCGTTCTACCAAAATTATTATTATCTTGAATAAAGTATTTTTAATTTCTTTCATTTAATATTTGACAAGACAAGTTCGTTCTTTTATTGAAATATAATATGTTGAAATTCAGTATACTGATTAGTAAAAGCATAATTCTATATATTGAAATATAAGGGATAATCGAGTAAAAATAAGATACTCAATGGCATTCTCATGATAGTGCATCGCCAATGCTCTACACTACGTGATTAATGTGCAACGAATGCTTTTTTTTAATCTTATTTGTATTGCGATGAAATGACCAGCGACGAATCACCTTCATTAATAGATTTAAAGTACGTCAAATTTATTAGCAGTCATTTGAATCAATGGGTAATTTAGAGATAAAATTGCATTAATGTGTGATTCACTATTTTTTTCTTCCATTGTTTCGTTGTGTAATATACGCCATACATGAATGACTTAGAGTTCAGAAGTAAAAATGATCAACATGGCTCAACATGAAAGTATTGTGTGAGATAAATAGATTGTGAACGAAAATGGAAACGAAAGATCTTGTCAGAAGAAAAAAGAAATCAAAACATTGGATTAGTTGATTTACAGGATATGGATGAACATATAATAAAAATCTACCCGTACCCTATTTTATATGAATAAAAAAAATTCTACTGATACGATCCTTGTATTTCGTTAATCAAATTCATATTTTTTTTAGTGATATATAATTTATTTTACTGGTATTTCTAGAAAATTTGTTAACGTAATTCATCAGTGCATGCAACATTTTTTATAATTTTCACATTCGGACTTTTTTGCCTTTAAATGTTGAGGCTGTTGTGTTTATATTCTTTTTGTTCACACCTACAATATTAGTTTTTCCCAACCAAATCAAACAGTTGGGGGCTGATTCAACTATCTAGAAAGCTGGTAAATTATTAGGATACAACAATAGAATTATGTTTATCAGTTCACTATTTGTGTCTGTGCTTCTTCGAATGTCAACTACGCGAATATGTTCTCTGTCACGGGTAACGCCGTCCATTCTGTACGACGCTCCAATTTAATTTCACTTCCATCCGTCGATCGTATCACTAAGGTTTTTTGGTCTTCTACGTCCACGTTTTTTATGTTGGATAGAAAGTTGATGAGCAATTGTTCTTCTTTCATTTGTTCAGGTGGACCGGCTATAAGTGTTGACATAACATCAGCAGATTTCCATTCATTAGTCGTAGGATTATGCTTCAAAACACAATGTAACATGTTAACAACAGTCGCAAAAAGAACGTACATGTTTTCACCGTGTTCATGGCGTTGTATTCGGAATTCACAACCAATACATTCAGGATGTTGAGGAAAACTAAGGACCTTCCATTTACCTTCTACACTATTACATTGTGATAACATACGTTCTAGTGATCGATGTTTTTGATCAGCATGAATAATTGTCACTTTACCATCCGATTTGAAACTCACAACTAAATTGAAATAATAGAATATGAGCAAATGGTCAGCGACCTTGTTTACCTGGATACAGTGGTTTTGGATATGGCGATTGTATATGAAATGCCATACCCAATGATCGTTCGTTGTGAAATACGTACATTTTCATGTTCGTATTGGTTAGTACTAATAAGAGACCAATTGTATCGCCTTCTTTGATTTGACTACCAAAAGATTGTACTAGGAGGGAGCTCCCATCCGATAGATTTCCTAGAACAACATTAATTATGTAAAAATCACTGATAGACTCGCTAATCGTTTTTTAAATATGTAGAACTGAGGTGGATCTGTATTCTTCAAATCCACCATCCATGATAACTTCATGCATCAACTCCAATACATTTCATTCAATTCGATCAACTAGATCCTTTTGAATAAGATCTTTTCAAAATTATTTTCATCTACTTTCTTCTATTTGAAGTCAAGGGATTCATATTGATGCATGAAAGGAGAATAGCTATATTATCTTCATATCTGAATTCGATCTCGTTTTCAATGCTCAATTACGCAGTATAGAAATTTTTTTCAGTAACCTGAATATTTCATTGCTTTTAACGTATAGCCACTTTGAAAGCCTTGCTTGGTTGTTAAGCCGACTGCCGAACTACCAGTTCCTATCGCTGATTCGATAAATTGTAGTTGCCAGAAGTATTGCCCGTTATGATCAGCTGGATTATCATACATAACATTGATTGGATTATCGTAGTCGCCATCTTTTGTACATGTGATTGTGTCATCACTCACATGAACAGCCGATGTGTTTTCACTTTGCTCCACAATCCACGACATAATAATGAAAGGCACACCGTGCAATGATACTTCAATAAATCTACAGTAGAACTGATACAACAATGAGCAGAAAAGCATTTAGCAAGACTAATTGATGACAGCTTGTATTTGTTACGTCAAAGAAAGAACTCATTACATTCATTGAACCATCGTTTTTGTCATAGAAAATAAAATAAAAAGAGCTGTCAGCTACTCTGTCTCCTCTTGCCGTTATAGAACTTTGGATCATATATATAAGAAGCACATGCGCGTATAGCTAGACATGCACAAAGATATACTCGAAAAAAATGTTGAAACATACGTGTAGAGTACAAAATAGCTGCTTGGGGTTCTGTACTTATATAATATTGACAAGCTACAACTTCAATTATTTATTTCATTTAATTACTTCTGTCTTCTCGTGTTTGATTGCGTCGAGTACATGAAGACGTCTATTTTTTGTTGATAATTGGGAAGAACAGCGAAACCATGATGAATGAATTGATAAATTATTTAGAGAAATCCAAAACTAGATGATGATCTGGCTCAGTTAGTCAAAGAATTCACGTAGAGTTTTATTTAGATTTTCAATGCGACAATAGAAACTAAAATTTTCGCAATGATATTTTATTCTATTCTGCCTCAGATAAATTATTCATGTTTTGACCTTTCATCAACCTTTTACCTACCTTGACAAAAGTACCTGCTGATTACGTAGACCTTTTAGACTTTGTAGAGCTGGGGCTGATAATCTTGTCTAATCAACATATCGATAGTAGTAATTTTCCAGTAGAAGCAAGTTTTCTCGATGTACTTATGCCAAAATGATCATTGTCTCGAGTTCTGGAAGTTTCATATTTTCAAATGACCTTTTTACCTACCATGTATTCATTAAAGAGATAAAATACACATAAAATATCACTATCAATTCAAAAAGTGATGAAACTAACAAATGGTTTTTTTTTATAAGCTTCTATGAGTCATTATCAAACTGTCGTCTAAACGTAGAAAAATATTCAAGTCTCTAGAGGTCAAGATACCAGCATATGTTCTCAAATTGATTTATGAAAAAAAAATCGTTAGCCCAGACTTTATCAATTTCTCAAAGTTCATCAATCTATCTGGACTTCTTTGAGTCTCATCTTTAGTTAACTTACGTCGTCGAACCTTTGTACTCTCAAAATAAACCAAACTATCGCTGTCGACTTTCTTTTCTTTCTTCTTCGAAAGCAGTTTCACAAGTACACGAATATATTTCTCCGATATCAGCGTCATATAGAAATAAGTATGTAATTGAGTATCATATGGTAGTAGTAATCCATTGGAAAGCGACCTATGATGTGTTTGCTGATTACCCATGTTTTGATACGTAATGAGAGAGAGAGTCAAACAATCATAAACGAAATCGCTATCTTTCACATAAAAAAAATAGAAAGGGCAAGTCAAGTACACGAGAATGTTTTTTTTTTCTCAACCATTTATCTATCTACTTACGATACAGACGAAACACACCATAGGCGCATCAATCATCATACCCGACTTATAAGAGAAAAGAACAAAACTATCATGAATAGATGTCGTTGACAACTCGTACAGGATGCTCCAAAATGAATGCATCAATTTATGTTTTTCATGTTACTCGTTTCAGTCAAAATCATCTTCGACAATTTGTACTTACAAAATTCAGTAAGAAATTTTCTACAAACATATATCATTATGAATTCGTGCTATGAAATATAGCAAATTATCTATCCTGTAGAACTTGAAAAACTAGTTTCTAGTGTTTATCCATAAGTTTCATATCACAACGTGTAGCAAAGAATAAGATTTTCTTTCTTGAAACACAATGTAAAATTCTGAGCCTGATTGTTTTATTGCAAATAGAAAAACTTTTAAAGAGTTGTGAATGACATCCCACAACCGAATGTCAGAACTAACATACGTTATGGATTTAGAATGAAATAAAGAAAGAAGTAGTCAACTTTATATGATTGTGCAAAACAACTGACCGAACAAAATTGTCATTAGCTGACATATGAACGAGTTTGACGAGATTGATCAGCATTAAACACACAAATTCACTTACTTGTTCTGGATCAATGGATAGATTCACTGTGATCGATTGAGTTGATAAATTTTCGACAAGTATGTGGGTGTGATTCTTCTTTTTGTGATACTTACACTTTCATTTCTTGGTTTTCTAATGCAAATTCAATTTGTTATGTAGAACTCAATTTTGAAGTTTTTGAATGCATTATAATACGTGGATTTTATCAACAAGTGAAACATCGAACAGATTTCTTTTTGATATTATATATAATGCAAGAAAAACAACAGATTTCAATAGTTACGCTCATGAATACTCCTCAAAAGAATATTCTTTGACGAAAATGTTCCTTAGAACATTCTATGTAATCTATTGGATTGATTAAAATATATCAATGATAACTGGTTGCAGCAATATTCATACGGTATACATATAGAATTGACTTGAAACAACAATTATACATATGAAGATACAAACAAACAATATATCGAAAGTTTGAAATTAGAACTTTCCATTTTTTAAGGAGATAATTATAGATTTAACAAAAGTTTAGAGAGACTCTAATAACGAAGAAAGTGTTTCATAAAAATTACTGTCAAACCTGACTCGATGTTTTGCTAAAAGAATAAAGGAGAGTAAAGGATATGATTTCCAGAGCTATGGTATATGAAACATTATAGATAAAACGAAGAGTTATCAAAAAACATTATCTTCAGGGACAGTTTTGATCGAATTCATTTTAATGCATTAGAGACATATCGTTTTTTTTTTATATAAAGAATCTATTATGAAAATTATAATATTAATTTACATTAGTGAACATCATTCTGCTAATAACTTTCCTTTTGTTTATATGATGAAAAAATTTGAGTTTTTATAGGTTATTCATTAACGTCATTTTAACCATCGTTTTACGGAGAAATTCCATTGTAATTATAGAATATCGTTAGTCAAACATATGAATTGCGTTGACATTCGAGAAACTATGAAAAGTGAAAACAGTAGACACAACGCACAACGATCTCGTTCTCTACAATTTGCTACACTTGTATGTAGAAAAGTGATGATTCTTTTTACTGTTACACATAGTACGGAATATGAAATAGTATAAATGTGTTGTTATTCTTTCGACAAGACATGCCCATGTGTTCCGTCCGTAAGTGAATTCAATGACCTCTGGAAGTTCACCTTATTGACAAGAGCAAAAAAAGAGAGAGAAAATTCAAAAAAAAAACAACAGAAAATTAGTAAGTGTATTTCCATTTTGTATTTGATCTCTGATTATTTCTACTATCATTGTTCATAACACAACACACGAAACATAGTCAACATAAAAGAGCTTCAACAATAGGCGATTCAATTTCTATCTAACAGAAGCTCATTCAGTGTAGTTTTAACTTGTTCAGATGGGATAAGAAATGATTGAGAAAGATGAATAAGTATTTTAACTGTAACATTTCGAACATTCATGGATTTTGATTTCAAATAGGATAGCAAAACATTTAAAACGACTTTCTCATCGTTAATAAAATGAATGTGTGTTATACATTTATGACAATTGTTTTGAATATGTGAATCATCACGTACAGTTTCAATGAATATCTCACATAAATAGACTCTTAGCTCATCCAACAATGATAAAATGGTTAAGCAAGCAGCACGCTGTAGAAAATTGTGTTGTTTACTTGTATAAAACAATGCTCGTTTCAAATTTTCTCCATCGCACCAATATGTGATAAAGGCACAAAATGCTGTCAGCATATGCACAGAGATTAAACTAGTAATATTTACATATGAAGGGTATTCGTAAGCTAAAATGTAATTTGTACTTTCAGCCGAGAATATCTTAATAGTAAAACTATGAATGTTATTAAATAATTTGACCATAAAGATTGACAAAAGCGTAGGATGTTCTTCAATAAACTTTGCGATAGCATTTTTACTATTTTGTTGAACATCGTAAAGATATAAGAATACATTCGATCTGATTAATGCATGCTAACGCTGCATATAATCAAAACCAAGCATTTCGAGTAGAAAGGACGTATCTTGGAGAATACGATCAAACCCTGTACGAGCTGCTTTTGGAATATCTTGAGAGTTGTGTCTTAACAAAACCCAAAATAAATCCAAATCCTCTTGATCAACTGTCACTTTACATATCGGTACACAATAGGAATAACTTGAATATAGTGGACTCGATATATTACTGGGATAGGTAGAAGTCTCATTAAGTATGCTGATCATTACCAATATAATTTTTTCAAACAAACTTTTATATGTTTGTT